ATGGTGGCCGAGCGTCCGCGCTTTTCGATCAAGGTTGACGGGTCCGACTCACCCGAGGATCCCTAGCCCTCTTGTCCCTTCTCTTGACCCTTCTCGACAGCGGTGACCTTAGTAGATTTCGAAACCGCCAATAAAAGAAGACAGATTAGCTTATAATATACGTAATCAAAAAAGTATAAGAAAGCAGTAGAAATCTCACCAAAGGTGATGGAGTCAAGATCTTGACTCTGGTCGATATGTACAAGCCAGGGAGGCAAAAGAGCCTCGTGGAGGTTAAGGTAAGGGAAATAAGATAATTTCGAGACGTAAATATCTTTGTTTTTGGGTTTTAGGCGACGTGTTTCCCGAGGGTTCTCAATTCTCGAACCCATTTTGGATGAGTTAATGGTTTGGCAAGTCCAAAAGGAGCTGTGGGAAAAGTAGGAAGGCGATTTGGACAATATATTTCAAAAGGGGTTCTACCTAAAGGATTGATTATTTTGTGGTTCGATCGATTAATGTCCGTTTTATTGGATAAGGAGATAACAACATCATAATAGGTCGATTCTAATTTCAAGTGGGGTATAACATATTTGATAAAAGTTCTCGAATCGAGATATTTGAAGACAAGTGGAAGTGTGTACCTTTCTTCGATTTTGACTTGTCCCGCAACACAAGAGAAGGTTGAGTAGTCGGTTCGTCGAACTTCATCAAAAGTAGCATGACTACTCGAGAACCAACCGACCCACTATTGAGAAAAACCCACAGTAGATAAATAATTTGACTCGAAAGCATAGGGGTAAAAGTGCATCAGGGTTTTTGGTAAAAGCTCAACAAGCTCCCGACTAATTGTGGATTCAGTTAACTTGGACTTTGGGGAGGTATCGAGAGAGAAGAAAGGCAAAGATTGGCTCAACCCAAATTGTCTCGAGAAAAGTTGGGGGTAATAGGTGACAAGCTTAAAATCCTTCGACCGAAAACCCGACACCAAAACATCATGGGTCAAATAATTGCTCCATACATCAATCAGTTCTGATTGCAACCCAGGAGTCGAGGCAGGAAATTTTGATTTAAACCAAATCGGCCCCCTAAGTTGGCCACTTGTTTGTCCAAGATTTACAGTAAATGGGGCCAAGGTTGAGTCGAAAGTGAATCTGGTTAATAAAAATTGAAGGTATTTACAGTAGGTAGTTTCATCAGACTTATGGCGAGGGTGACGAGAGGATAATCGGGCCCCTTCTATATTTACACTCGGGGGGACGGAAGAAATTCGAGGAAGGACACTCTCAAAGATCGAAGTGAGCCACAACTGGACAAACCAAATGGGGCCCGAAAAGTTCCCCGATGCTTTAGGTGTGTTCAAAATTTCGACAAACCTCGTCGAAAGTAGCATACACATGAGCTAGTAGCAACTTAGCCAAACATATCCTAGGCCGGCCTATGTGCAGGACATATGCAAGATCAAAAAGATGGGGGGAAATTTGGATCGATCGGGGCGTAAGACGTGGGTACACAGCCAATACACTAAAAATGCCACGTGCTCTTCATCGCGAATAGCCTATCGAAGGGTCATCGATAAAATGCTTCTCAAGAAAATGACCATAGGCCTTCGATTCCCAATCAATTTTAGACTTCGGAGAATTATCCGAAGGACATGTACCCTTGAAATACTTTTCCCCGTAGGTTTCAAGCCGCAATAGCCGCGACCTCAAAAAGGGTGGGTGAAAGTGGGCCACAAGGCAACTCCAAAGCATGTAAATCCTTGTTCCATAAGTGCACCGCAGATAGAAACATTGCCATGTCCAAAAACGACAGATCGCATCGAGACAAGTGCAAAAGTCGAAAATTCCAACATCCTTCCAAGTGGCTCCCAAACTTAGTTTTTACCCTATCAAACCACCTAATGAAGGAGGATTTTTTGGAAGGAGGGCCTGTTCTATATACCTTAGAGGTAAGATTCGTAAAATCAACCCTAACCTCGGGATGATGTACAAGAGCCGAGCTAATCGAGAGGTTGAGAGGGAGAAAATGTCATCTATAGGACGAAGTGGACCCCCAAAAGCAAAATTAACCCCCTCAGCAGTGTAAGGGATAAGTACCTGCGTTTCAGCAATTTTGCGGGAAGCCTCCTCCATCAAAGGGACTGGAGCGAACTTCTGGTTATTAATCTCCAGCAGGTTGGAAGGCAATGAGGAAAGGGGTGGAACAGAGAAATCAGATGACTTGGATGAAGTGGCCATTGGAGTAAGCTTAGGGAAACAGAGAGGGAAGAGTTAACTGATGAGGCAACAGTGGACGAAGGCGGAATTCAAAGGAGAAGATAAGATTGTAAAGAGGGTGATAATTCGCGTAAAGACCAAAGTAAAAAACCAAGGAAAGATTAAAGGGAAATTGTCTAGGGAGTTGGAAGCGACGGAAAGGAAAGGTAATTAATGTAACTTGTACTGAAAGGCAACAGACTGACGAGACGGCGACGTAAAGTGGAAAAGAAACCTAAAACCCCTTCTAACCCTAGAACCCCAGAAACCCTAAACCCTAAATCCTGTGGGCTTTCAAACACTAAGGCGGGAATATTGAAAGAATATAAACAGAAATCATTTATATTCTTCCAAGGGGGCATTTTGTTAGTGGCAAATCGAGAAAAGCGATCGAAATCGAAGGAAAGAAATGTGACTCGATAAGATAAACAAAAATTCATTCGATGTCTAATTAGAAATACATAGCATATAGCATCGAGAAGCACAATCGAGAATCGAACGAATAATAATCAAATGACTGTTGTCGAATAAAAACTAAGTCATGTAAGACCAGGGTTAAAAAGGAATCGTAAGCAATTTGAAGTTCCCAAAAAATACAGAATTGAGGGTAAGGAAAGCCAATGTGGACATCGAGACTTTGGCCAAATCGTGAAAGGAAGTAAGTCGAATGCACGTATAAAGAGCAGTTTGAAATCATGGGAAAAAGTCGGAGATCGTGAAGAACATGGGAAACTATAGAAGATAAACGGCCATACGCACGTAGAACGTGGTAGCAGTCGTGTTAACTGCTCTTGGAAGGATACCCTATAAATAGAGCAAAGGAGGAAAGGGGGAGGGGGGCAGAAATTGGCAGAGAACAGGATTAGTAGTGAAAAGTCTACCGGAGAAACGACGAACACCATGAAGTTTCCGGCAACTGGATTTCCTTGCTCACCGAGTACATTTACCGCTTCTGTATTTTCCTTGGTAATTTATTTTGATGCAACTTAAATTCAAGCAGCTTTATGTTTCGTATTTTCGATTCCTTGTCCATTTCAATTCAATGAAAATTTGAGTTTCGCATTTAGATTTCCTGTTATTTAACATTCTCGCAAAGCTCAATTTCTTGTCATTTACTTTTCTTGCAATCTCGATTTCTTGTCATTTACTTTTCTTGCAATCTCGATTTCTTGCTAGTTACAATTAATGCAAGTTTGGGGTTTTCGCACTTTACATTTCCTCGCAATTTAACATTCTCGCTTTTTCGATTCGATAGTCTTAATGCTTTCGATACTTTAAATACAAAACACCAAAAACAACTTTTCGATATCCCTGTAGTTTTCGATTCTCATACACGTTTTCGATTGAAAATCAAATTGCTAGCCTAAGTAAAAAGAACTTACGTGGTAGAATTTTGATTAGGACCAAAACACCCTTAGAATCGAAATCGATCGAAATTCCACCAGAAACACTATCATAACATTATTCTAAAAAAATATAAAATATCAGAATATATATAGGATCTGAGAATTGTAATAGAAACTTGGAACAATAGTTAAACAAAAAAAAAAGGTTTGCATACATGTAGGAAATAAAAAATATATATAAATTAATACAAGTATATGTAGAAGAGAAAAAGAAATATGTTTATTTGAAATTTTGTTGTCTACTAATTAAATAGTTTTAAATTTTATAGTTTTTTAAAAAATAATTTTTTTTGTTAGAATATTTTTAGAAATATTTTTTTTTGTTTTTTAATAAAATGTATTTTTTATTTTTTATTAATGATATTATTATTTTTATTTGTAAATATAATATATGTTTTATGTTTGTAGTTATGAAATTATCTTTTAAATTATATTATGATTTTTTCCACGTTTCTTTTATTGTTTAAAAAAATTAAAAATAATTTTTTTTTCAAAAGTCATTATTAAATTTGTTTTTAAAAATAAAAAATAAAATAAAATCAAAGACGTTATAATTTTTTATTTTATTTTGTGATGCTGAAAATATAAAGTTGATTTCTAGTATAGGCAGTCGCAAAATTTTATAGTCCATTAAAACCATAATCCTTGTTTTATTTCAAACTAATATTTTTTTTCAGTTTTTTTTAATAATACCCTACCTAAAAATAAAGTGTAATTAATACATTAGTTTTGATATTAGAAAAAAATATAAGGTAATGAAAAATTGAGAACATTTTTGACTAAATATATATATATATATATATATATATATATATATATATATATAAATCTTTATTAAGTGTTTTAAAATCTTAGAAGACTATCATTTTGAAACGGTTTTTTTTTTCTCATCTGGTTTGTATGGTCTCATGGACATTTTAAAAATCAACTGAATAATAACTGTTTTCATATTGTTTTTGGTATTATAGGCAATGAAAAACACCTAAATTCATAATAGATTGTATACTCTTGAGAACTAAACTGAATGTAATCAAAGTTTTGAAGTTAAAATTTGAAGAAAGCGGCGGCATAAGACATTGGTTACGCGTGCAGTGAATATGTAGAATGAAGAATACTGTTGATTTCCAAAAACAAATGCAATCGATCACTCAAAAAACAAAGCCCGCGTCCAACACGTGAAAATATTTGAATTGCAACAGCGCCAAACAGAACACACCCACCCTAGCACCCGCCACGTGTCCCCCTACCACGACATCCTCTTACTAAAACAACAACTTCCTTGTTTTTGTTTTTCTCCTCAAGACTAGTAACCCTCCACTCCTTCTTCTTCTTCAGTTTCAATTTGAAACCGTTCTGAATGGCATCCTTCGGTGTGAAACCTTCTTCGCGCTACAGCTCCTACGATTCACGCTCCTCCACTTCCTCTCACTTCTCCGACCCTTCGTCCTCCCATGAATTCAACAATGCCAGAACAAAACCCTCTTCCTCTCGCGCCCTCGTCAAGACCAAATCCTCTCACACCACCAAGGTGGATCCCACCTTCACCACTATGGTCAAGAAGTTCATGGACCGCAAGCCCAAGTCCTCCTCCGCCACCGCCACCAGGTTGATTATTCCCTCCGATTTGTTGGCCCAGGATTTAAAGAAGGACGCCAAGAGAGTGGCGGGCTTCTCTGCGCTGCAGAAGAAGCTCTTCGGAAAGGGGGCTTCCGAGAAAAAGGAGAAGATGAAGGCCTTGACGGAGGTCAAGAACAACACCAGGACATTGGCCATGGTGCTTAGGAGCGAGAGGGAGCTTCTCAGCATCAACAAGGAGCACGAAGAGCAGATTTCTCAGCTCAAGCAGATATTGGAGGACAAGAACAAAGAGGTGAAGTACTCAAATGTGTTTGTTGGAGATCCAAAATAGTTAAACAATGTAATACAACTTGGAGACAATCCTAACCTTATGCAATAGTTTTTCGATTGATTTATTTTTAAATCCAAATCTTAATATTCTATCGGAGTTTATCCTAGTGATTATTGTTATCTGATTGTTATGAGACCACTTCGTAGATGTCTAGTTCTGCAAATATCACAATCACTATACAAGTCCAAATTTGAAAACTCAGTTTTTTCTAGTGATTGTTATTGATATTGTAGTAGTCTGGCTATTCTTATTTAATCGTTATCAAGCCCTTTGCGGATGAGTGAAAACCGAATTATAATTGTGTTGTGTTGTGTTTTTTGGATCTGATTCACCCAAGGAATGGGAAAGTGCACCATGCATTTTGATTTGGAATTTGAATTTGCAGGTGGAGAAGTTGAGGGACTTGTGTTTGATGCAAAGGGAGGAGATCAAGTCGTTGAAGAATGCGATACTATTCCCGGATGTTATGAATTCTCAGCTTCAAGAGCTTCTAGAGAAGCAAGGTTCGGAGCTGAAGCAGGCAAAACTGGTTATTCCAGCTCTGCAGCAGCAGGTTTCTTCCCTCACCGGTCAGCTTCAAACCCTTGCGGAGGATCTTGCTGAGGTATACATAACTTGCATCCCTGTGTGTATGACAGCAATTTGTTGTCCTTTGTCGATAAAATGCTGATCATTGAAAGTTTTTACTGATTGAGGTGGACATGTTTCAGCCATATATGGTTGGTTATGTTTTTCATTGAATTGCATATTCTTTTCATCTGAAATAAATAAAGAAAAGGTAGTATTACCTATTAGATGTTTGGTTTAAAAACTGTTTTGAATTATTCAAATTACTATTAAACAAGATTGCTCAGCTGGTGGAAGGTGGTGCAAGGCCAACTTGTTGAGGGCGGAATTCAAGGAGAGAATAAAATGAAAGCAATAAAAGATGAAAAATCTAACTGTTTGATTTTGGATTTTTAGAATTCTTACTTCGGAAAAAAAATTTAAAACTTCATAAAATTTAAATGAAAAACAGACTGTTGAGTAGAGTGTGATTAATTTATTGTGTTTTTCTCTTCATTTATTTATATTTCATTTGCTTTGGTTAGGTCAAGGCTGATAAATATTCAACAAAAGCCGGTCTTCTCGGTTATGGAAGTTCTCCAAGGACACCAACACATGCCCGGGAAGATGCTTGCAACTCTTGGGTAAGCTTGCAGTTAGTCAGAATACAATTGAAATTTCAAAATCATAATTTTATGATCAATTGTAGATCGTAGAAGCCAATCCAAAGTCATGCTATTATGTCAAAGAAGATATCATTTGGCAACCCTATTATTATCCTTAACCTGATAAGCGTTTTGGTTAATCTGCTCAACAATTCATACAGGAATTCAGCTCTGATGACCAGTCCGATGACCTATTACTAAAGGATCTAAATCCCTGCTTAACACCCTGCAACGCCAAGTCAAGATCAAGGGTAGCTAAATCCTCCAGTACTTTGTTGTAAAACATCCCTTGTGTTCTTAAATTGTTTTTTTATCAAATAACTCTATTTCCTGCAGGAATTCGACGGTAGGGGCTCTGGCTCAATACTTGATGAAAGTTTATCCGAGGATGATACTAAAGTATATCCTGAGATGGATTTTAGCTCTCATGATCGCAAGTTTTCCAAAAGTTCTGACTGTTGCCATAACTCCAGCAAAAGAAGTGACGGAAGCAAAGCAGGTCGAAGATCCGATGAGAGCAAATTAGCCTACGGAGGTAGAATGAACCATAAATTTGCATAAATAATCTCAATCCTTGCCCCCTTGCTGGATTCCTTATCCCTTTTCCCTGTTACCATCTTTGAGTTTTGTCATTATTATACCGTCAATATGTCTGTTTCAACAAGTTGGACATTGTCTCTTTGGAACATGTAAGATTAAATTACTTCTCGTTGTATATTGTGCCCATGAGCAGTGAATAAGGGCTCGAATCAACAAGTCCTTAGATATATTGCTCTCGAAAATTCGATAGTACAAAGTGCAAACTCCTACATCTGAGATTTTAGTCTTACAAAGAATAATCAGTCTCAAGTTTTACATTTGCACTAGCATTAGATCGCCTGTTTTTACAGTGTGTATCATTCGAGGTTTTCGTCGAATTAACAATTTTTTATGATACTGTTAATCTAGTATCTAAATTTAATCACAATAAATAGGAACCAATTGCAGATGGGAAAGGGTATCAGAAGAATAAAATGCAGGATGTGACGAACTATGAGTATGCATGATGCATAAGTATTTTAGATTAGACTTTATTGTGTTTCAATTGTGTACCTAAATTACTAGACTTTCTTATAAAAGCTTACTGGGACTTCTCTACATGAACTTGTACATTATATTTGATTTTCTTGTGTTTCCGTCGTGTACCCAAATTATGCGACTTTTTAACTTGATGTATTTAGATTAGATTCTCCTTTATTTAGTTAGGTATCCAAATTATGAGACTTTTGAGATGATGAACTAATTTTTAGATTAGATTCTCTTGTGGTTCTAACGTGGTTAATATAAGAGATTTTTTCTTTATATTTGCTTTTTTTTCTTCTCAATTTTTAATTAAAAATTTAATTATATATCTGTCATCATGTTTTCAGTTTTTTTTTTTTTTTTCAAAGATAGTTTAAGAATTTCTCCCCCTTAACAGATTAATCTTATGATGTTTTGGGGGTTAAACACTTCTCTTATGCTTAGTTCATCCATATGCTACGGCCAAATATCATCACTTTCATAAGTTAAAGCACGGAAATTAGCGAGTCTAGTCTCTAAATGATTGCCCAAGGTTAGGAATCGAGCATTTGATTTGAGAATTGAGCGTAGAATAATAGAGGAAACAGGTAAACACAGCACATAAGAAGTGAAACATTCATCGATTAACAAAACCAAGTTCTCATTTCACTCTTTATCAACACAATGCTGATATAAAGTGAATTATTATGTTTTCTAGATACCTATTTGTTATAAATATAACACTGTTATATATATAACATATATAACACTAGACAAACATTCCTCCTGCCTTAGAGCATCCCACGACTTGAAGCTGTTCTAATGATCTGAAACAGAGCTGTCAACAAAACAAAACAACAATAAGTCAGTATGCAAAGAAATATCCTCGATACTTTCTCCCATCTTAAGCTTAACCAGTACAATATATTTTATATAAGAAATAAAAAAAATATTGGCACATCAGTTAACTTAATATGAAAAATGTGGGATGAGAGATAAACAACAAAACAAAACAAAGAAAAAGGATGATAATGTTCTGTGCATAGCTTCTCTACCCATGTCATTGTAGCAATAAATTGTACTGACTCGATTATTAGCTAACAAAGGGTACTCGCAGATTAAGGGAATAATTTCTCCGAGAGTTCTTTTAAAATAAAAATATTATTTTAATGTAGGCATAGTGAGTTATTTAAATTATATGGAGTTATGCATAAGTAATTTTAATATTTTTTATTTGAAGCAATTTTCTATTTGTTTTTGAAGATGCTGATTAATTAAAAGGTACAAAACCGCAGTAGCCTTTTGGTGTTTAAAACTGGAAATAAAAATGTTCAGGATGCAGAAGAACATACATGATCCAACGACAACAAAGATGAAGAACCCAAGCACAATTGGGCCCACAGGGTATGCATATCCTTTCTTAGTGTTTTCTGATCCTTTCTTGCTGATATTCCTTTCAAACCTTGCTATTTTCCTGTCTGCTAGGCGCTTTGAGGTAGTCTAAGAAATCAAACAAGTTAAAGCAAACACAAAAATTATCACCAATCATACAAGTCATAAATAACTCAGCTCAGTCCTTTGCAAGAGAAAGCACAACCAAAAAGCATCGAGATCAAATCCGAACGCTCCAAAACCAAAACATCTAAGATTAAAAATTGGGAAACGGCCTTCTTTTTTATCTGACTTCTGTAATTGCAATTCCCAAAAGCACAAAAAAGAAAAAGAAGGATAACATTTGTGGGGTTGAGTTACCCCAAATCCCAATTCTATGATATTGCTCCTATTTATATATACTTATTTTATTCTTGTGTAATTGCAGTTTGATAGTTCACATTTCCTTTTACAAATTTGATAACTGCAGAGCGCAGTGTCAATCACAATTCAGGAGCATGAACTTTGTCCGTGAATGTCACATGGATACAATTGAAAAAAAAAATGTAATTTTGGCTATCAATTTGATTAAGAAAACCTGGCAATGTAACATATTACCCTTTAATGCTGGTTTGCTAAGATTTTTTATTGCTGAGTAACCTTTAGAAAATGATGATCAAATAAAACTCAAACAAATCTGGTTTTCAAACAACTCTGCAATTCAAGAAATTGACACCAAGCATACAAATTACAAACTCCAAAAATCCCCTTTTTTCTTTTTCCCATTTCAGATAAACGAAAAGGTTTTTGTGCTGAAGAGAAAGGTATGAGAGAAAACCACATATAAAGTAAAGAGGAGGTTTCTAGAATGAACTGGCCACAAAGGCAAATCTCCCATAGCAGTGAGACAAGTATAAAAGGATCTCAGTGAGAATCAACATAATGCAAAACAATAGCAACAAATTGATCAGAAACAAAAAGGAAAACAACCAAAGCTACAGATAAATTATAAATTACCAGGGAGAGAAACTTTACCATAGTGATGGTAGAGGGAGATCAAAACCAACCCAGAAACTCTTCGGAAGCAATTCTAAGACCAAAACACTAAAATATTATTATTAAAACAATAACATTTTATTTGGTTGTAAAATGATGAAACAGTGCAACCTGAACACTGTTTATAGTACTTTTATAATGAAGAAGGGAGGGCATTTGTGCGTGTGTGCTATGTTACATACGTTTGAATGTGTCACCTCCTAAAGTTGACTCGTGGAGATTATATCTAAACCTACCCTCTTCTTCTACTTTGAGAAGTTTTTTTATTTTATTTATTTATTTTTAAATGTGAAATGGGTAATGAGATATGCCTTGGGTTGTGTTACGACTGGATCACAGTAAATGCGTTTGTAATTAGGGACGTTACAACGGGTAATTGAGGAGTTTGTCTTGTCAACGGAAACGTTACGATTGGAATTAAATTCAACCATAAATATGTTCAATATATTAATTCCATGTTTGGCAAGTGCTTTTATCACTAATTCAGAAATAAATTCTTTGACTTCTTTTTCATTTGGCTTTATATTTTTTTAAAATATATATTTTTTAAATAATTTTTAAATGTTACTAAATTATTAAAATAACTTTGAAAGTAATATTTATTTTTTCAAATACGCTTTACTTATTATTATTAACCTGTATTTTAATGTGTATATATATATATATATATATATATATATATATATATATCTTAATGATAATATAAAAAATATATTTGATGTTATTATGGAGTCAACTTTATTTATAACTGTATTAGTTATGATATATATCAATATACTATAATATAATATATAAAAAATTAAATACAGTTTAACACAAATATTAAATGCATAATTAACTTTTATTTCAGTTTCATACATTTAGTAATTATTATAATCTATATTCAATCTCTACAATTGAGTATTACTTTATAAAGTTTTCATAAAATACATTGCATCTAACGAGTATTATACTTGGTCAGATTAATTTGACTGTGTACAATGTGTGATAATACTACATTAAAAATTAATATATTTATATTAATGTCAGTTAATTTAAGTATATATTATATATTAAAATAATATATTATATTTAATAGGTAGATTAAATATTTAGTCATAATAGTTGATATGATTATATATGTTTAATAAATATAATATTTAATTTTAGTGAATGGATAAATTAAATTATAATTTTTAAATAATTTGACTACTTAAAATATTTAATAATAATATTTAATGTCATTTGAAAAATTACTTATAAATATTAATGATGACATTTATTGAACGTAATATATTTATTAAATTTAATATATGTTTTAATTTATTAATATAATTATTATTTTATTTTTGTTAAAATAATTATTTTTTTAATTTTTTTACATTAACTAAAATATTATAAATTATATATATATATATATATATATATATCTACTTATTTTTATTTTTCATTTCAGAAAGAAAATATTTTATTTTATTTTATTTGGACGTACAAGACACACGATATTTTAACTTAAACCAAGTATAGAATGCACACACGTATTTTAATTATTTTATTTGAATTGAATATGTTGCGTCCTAAAATATATTTAAGGATTTATTGTCACTTTTTTATTCTGTACTGAAAATGAAAAATCAATTCTATATTTTTTTTCTTTATCAATTAAAAAAATCTATTATATTTCTTTATCTAAAACAACTTAAAAAAAATTTCAAAGAAATTTAAATTTATATATTATTCATGCTAAAAACTTAGGATATATTATAACCTAGAAGTTATGTCCAGCTTATGTTGTTTTGGAATAAAAGATAGTTTCATTTAAGTAAGTTGTTAGGGCTGTCAGGCGGTTAGTGTGACCGGGTTTTACCGGTGAACTAAAAGAAAAAAATCTAATGATATAGAATGATCTAATATTAGGTCAACGGAAATTTTTAATTTAATTAAAAATATATTTTTTATATTTGTATAATTTTTTTAATTAAAGAAATATTTATATAATTATTTTAATTTAAACAATATGTCATTTTTTCTTTAAAAGTAATTAATAATAGATAAAATAAAATAAAATATATAGAATCATAAAAATAAGTTATTATAATGATGTATTACACTTATTCATATATCACAATTTAAATATATCTTATCAGAAATATTACATAACTACCTTTTATATATATATATATATATATATATATAAACCTATGCAATTAAAATATTTATAATAATTAGTTTAAAATCAGGATTTAAACTTTTTTAAACCTCTCAACTCCCTCTTACTCAACATAATTAAATTAAAGATCATGCTTAGTAATGCATCTAACAAGTGTCGGTGAATTTTATATTTAATAAGCTAACCTTATTATCCAACATAACTCTCACATCATAATACTTTGAAAATATATTATGTTTAAGAATATGTCATCTTAAATTATTGATGCTTAAAAGCAATTGTGACGACAATAATAAAGAGCAAGAAGATGATCAAAGCAAAATGGAGATAATGTTTAGAATTTTTTATTATTTTTAAATTATATATATATATATATATATATATAATAAAATATATTATCAAACTAATTTATTATAATTATACTTTCTAATAAAATAATATTAATTTTATTTCATTAGTAAAATAATAATTATTTTATAAAACAAGTCAGTTCATAAACCTATAGGTTAATCTAACTTAAGCCTATTTAGGTCTAACCAAAAATTGTCTAATTCTATTTATGTTATAAATTTTTTTATTTAAAACCTATTTTTCGGGCTGACTCTTCGAGCTAAGTGTGACACTTTTGTAAGTTGCACCGAAATATTATTAAATATTAATGAGATAAAATTTTAAATTTGATTAAAAATTTATGTTTATTAAAAGAAAACATAAACATTATTATTTATAAGTTTTCTTCCAAAATTTGTATTATTAATTAATACTCTCTCTTTTTCATTTTACAATATTTATTTTTTAAAATAATTTAATTAAGTAATATGGAGAAAATTAACGTTAAGAAATAAGAAAATATAGTTTGGAGGGCTTAATCATCCCTCTTAACCATCTTCAATTTATAATAAAAAATCTGATATAGGAGAGCATAGACATTTAGATACAAAACTAGGTACAACAGTAGGACAGTCGGTAGGTGTTTCCAACACATTACCTCCTACTCTAACTTAATGATTACACATAAATTTAATAACTATTCTAACACTACCCCTCCAGTTGGAGCATATAGATTGTATGTATCAAGCTTGAAACAATTGAACTCAATATGAGGTATTCTTAAGGACTTGGTCAATATATTTGCAAGTTGGTAATTTGATCTAACAAATTCAGTACACATTTCTTTGGACAATAGTTTTTCCCGAACAAAATGGCAGTTAATTTCTATGTGTTTGGTTCTTTCATGAAATACTGGATTTGACGCGATATGGGGAGCAACTTGGTTATCACAATACATTTTCATTGTTTGAACTTCACAAAAATTAAACTCTCGAAGAAATGTTTTACCCATATAAGTTCACAAGTAAGAGATGTCATTGTCCTGTATTCAGCTTCAGTAGTTAATCTGACCACCACATTTTGCTTCTTACTTTTCCATGAGATAATATTTCCTCCAAGAAAAACACAATATCCCGTAGTAGAACGTCTATCAGTTGGGAAGCTTGCCCAATCAACATTACAGTATTTAGAGACTTGGACATTTCCTTTATCTTCAAATAGCAAACCTTATCCTAGAACCTTTTTGAGGTATCTTAAAATACGAATGATGACATTCTAATGGCCAATACATGGGGGCATGCATGAACTGACTGACTGAGCACTTCTACTTCAAAAGATAGATTATGCTTCGTAATAGTAAGATAAATTAGCTTTATAACTAGCCGCCTATATCTTTCTAGATCAGGGAATGATTCACCTTCTTCTGTCATTAGTTTTTTACTTTGGTCCATAGGACTATCTATTGGTGTTGGGTAATCCAAGTGTGAGTTAAGTCCCACATTGAGTAAGAATAAGAAAATTATACAACATATAAAGAAGTATGACCTATAAACTAATGCCTTAAGGTTTTGGGTTGAGAGTGGTGTCAATCCTTATGTGGGTTGAGCTCATGTCATGTTGTTCTCTCCAATGAATCCCCTTCCAAAGACCCAACAATTGTAAGATATCGAGAGCATACTTCCTCTGAGAGATAACAACTCCATCTTTTGACTGAGTTACCTCAATGCCCAAAAAATATTTAAAACTCCCGAGATCCTTTGAAAATGTTTGTATAACCTGTAATTGAGACTATTAGGTAAATACATCTCTTAAGATGAGTATTGCAATAAAAAACTGAATGATCTGTTTCATTGCGTTTTAGCCCAAACTTTTGAACAATTGAGCTAAATTTACTAAACCAAGCACGTGGGATTGTTTAAGGCCATAGAGAGCGACACAACTTACAAACCGTACCAGACTCCCCCTGAGCAACAAACTCAGGAAGTTGCTCCATGTATACTTCCTCTGCAAGGTCACCATGTAGAAAGGGGTTTTTTATATCCAATTGATGGAGTGGCTAAAGACTAATTACTGCCATGACAAAAAAAAGACGGATAGTAGTCATCTTAGCCACTGAAGAGAAAGTATCACTATAATCGATGTCATAAATTTGAGTGTACCATTTTGCAACTAATTGTGCCTTGAGACAATCAACTTCACCATTAGGACCAACTTTAATGGTATAAATCCATCGACACCCAACTGCCTTTTTGTCAAGTGGGAGGGAAACTAACTCCCAAGTATCATTCTGGTCAAGAGCCTGCATTTCTGCAATCATAGCTTGTCACCATCCAGGATGATTAAGTGCTTCCGTCACATTTTTTGGAATGGGAATAGAAAACACTGAGGATAGAAAAGAACAATAGGAAGCGGATAATCGATGATAACTAAGAAAATTATAAGTGAGATGTGGGTTCTGAGTAGAACGAGTACCTTTTCTAAGAGCAATGGGCTAACCTGGATCTTCTTTATAAAGAGTCGTGGTATTGGGTGACGATAGAGAAGAATTTGAAGCAGAGGATTCACTTGGTTCTTGAATAACTGGATTAGTTATTTGGGTCTGATAGATATCAATACCAAGAGGGTTATGACCAACACTAAGATTAGCAGAGATACTGGAAGTAGTGGACTAGACTAATGGTATCGAGAGGACCTGCTAAATGACATGCACATCTTAAACGAACGAAGAAAAATAAGGAGTCTGTTCAAATAATGTAACATTAGCAGACATATAGTACTTCTTGGTTTTAGAGGAGTAACACCCGTACCCCTTTTGAAGTAAAAAATAGCTCAAGAAGACACATTTGATTGCACGAGCAGACAATTTATCTAACCCTGAAGACATGCCATGAATAAAATAGAACAACCAAACACATGAAGAGAAATGTGAAAAAGAGAATCATTTGGAAAAAGAATGGAGAGAAGAACCTTATTATTGAGAAAGGAGGATGACATCCTGTTAATAAGAAAACATGCAGTTAGGATGACATCCCCCAATGATGAACAAGAATATTTGCATCAAATAATAGGGTACGAGCAGTCTCGACTAAGTGTCTATTCTTCCTTATTGCTATACCATTTTGCTGTGGTGTGTGAGGACAAGTGGACTGATGTAATATACCATGGAAACTCAAGACTATAGAAAAATTGGAAGAGAAGTACTCTTTGGCGTTATCACTTCTCAAAATTTTGATTACTTGACCAATTGGTTCTTGATTTCGTTCAAAAAAGATGTGAAAATAGACAACAATTTAGTACGGTCTTTCATAAGATAAACCCAAGTGCATCTCGAGTATTCATCAATGAATGTGACAAAATATTTAAAACCAAAAGAAGAGACGCGACTAAGTTCCCAAATATCAGAGTGGATAATAGGGAAACTAGAATTACATCTTGTTTCAGACCTTTTAGGCAAGGTAGATCTAAAATGTTTTCCTAATTGACAGGATTCACATTCTAAGATCGGGAACCATTTGTTTTAGCTTTGACAAATGGGGATGACCTAACCGTTCATGTAATAATTTAGGATTTGTGGTTGTAACACAGGAAACATGGGGACTAGATCTAAAATGGTGTAAACCTCCAGCTTCATATCCTTCTCCAATTCGTCTCCTCAAACCACGCTCTTGTATAATAAAAGACTTGACAAAGGTTATTGAACAATTTAATGTTTTGGTTAATTGACTTAATGAAATTAAATTGAAGGGACAATTAGGAACAAAGAGAAAAATTTTAGATTTAGGGAAAGAGATAAGGAGACTTGACTGACTCCCTTTGAGGGAACTTTAGAACCATTTGCCAGGATTATGAAATGATGTTTTTCTGGAAAAGAAATGGATGAAAACAAAGAGATATTACCGAAGATGTGATCAGAAGCACATGAATCAATTATCCATGAATTTTGACCTTCCATGGATTGGGAAATACAGGCTGTTGATGTACTCGGAGTTTTAGATATTTATGCCAAGTTGTTAGATTTTAACCTAACATACTCCTGATATTCTTCCTCAATGAATCTAGAGTTGACAGTTTCGGTCTTAAAGACATTGGTTGTCTTGGCAAGAAAACCATGCAAGGAGAAGCAATTTTCCTAGGTGTGACCCATCCTTTTACAATAGAAACACTAAGGATATCCTCGGCCACCACGCCCTCCCCTATTACCACGTCCTCCTCTTCCTCATGTGGTAACCATGACCATCGTGAAAAAGATAGAAGTCATGTTCTCCTGAAAAAGGTTGATCAATGGAAGCAAGTTGATTACTAGTTGTGTCCTGCTATGATAAATTATGGAACCAAGGCTTTTGATTTCCCTTAGAGTCTTCAAAACTTGTCACCTTTTTTGGAAGAAAGCTCAACATATTTATGCAAATGATTACACATAGATTTAATAACTATTCTAACAAATAGAGAGCCAGACACCAACTAGGGCCGAGAGACTCCTAAGGTGACCTTCGCTAGGTTGACTTTTAGACTTCGCCAAAAAAGAGTTTTGAGGGTTAGAACAAGAAGAGAAAGCTTCGGCGATACCCACAGAGGTGGCGCGACAACGTTTAGACGCGGAGAAGACAGTGCGTGGGTGACATGCGCCCAAATGTGCCAATTTTGACTAGGCGCATGATGGTGCGTGGGGGATGAAACTAGCTTCCAAGACCGGTAGGGGTGGCTATCGTTCAAAGAGGCGATCCCAGTGGCCACCGAACAAAATTGTGACGATGGATGACGGTGAACGACAGCAAACAACGACAGACGGTGGCTCCGGAGATAACCGAGACCGGTCCGATACCAACTTAACATTAAGAAACCGAAAAATATAGTTTGGAGGACTTAATCACCTCTCTTAGGACAACTTATAGATACTTTTAACACGCTACCTCCTATTCTAATTTAATGATTACACATAGATTTAATAACTATTTTAATAAAAAAATTAATTATTCTTGTTAACAATAATAAATTTATTAAAAATTACATATTTATTTTATAACTTGCGGCTACCATCAATATTTTTTCGTTAAATATTTACAAACATCAACTATCATTGATATTAAATAAAAATATCTTAATTTGATATATTAAAATTGAAATAAAAAGTATGATAAATATAAATATTAATAATTTTATCATAAATAATAAAATAATACAAAAACTACTTACAACTTTATTACACAGAATTTATTACAAAGTTACGCCCTTGATATTTTCCAGCATAGTGAAGTGTGAAGATAAAGATTTATGAGAAGAGTGACAGCTTTTATTAGTATTTTATTTAAAAACAGGACAGCTTTTATATTTGTTCAAGAAAAGCAATAGCTGCAAGAGATTTGGCACGCTACTTCAAAATCTCAAAAGTATGTTTTAATTCAAAAGAAGAGATATAAAATATCTATACAGTATATTTACAATTATTTTTTTTTTAAAAAGAACCTATAAAAATATAAATTCAATTTTATAATATACAAAATATTTAATAAATTTATTAATAATAATATTTATAAAAATTATTGTCATAATAATTATAAATTATAATAATATTTTTAAGACGAATAATTATTAAAATAAAGAAATACAGTAATATAATTATTATTTAAAATTAAAATATTTAATATAAGCTAAAAAAAGAAAAAAATATATTATATTTTTTTAAAAGAATTATACTAAAAAAATTATGATTTTAAATTTTCTTTATTTTTAGACTAATACGCAATTAACTGTTAAACCCACTAATTCGGTTTTTAAATTTATTACATTACTTTGTATATTATTTTATATATTTTTAATAGATCATACGAGTATCCATGCATAATTTAAGAAAAAAAACGTCAGAAATAATAATAGAAAATTACTTTAATTTGGTAGTTGATTTGTTTAACTAAAGAATTTGATAAATGAAAACCTAACAATCACTATCGTTTGAGGTACTTGTTAAACTACCAAAATTGGAAAGGCACACACGTGCTATCGTCCCCACCTAATTACACTTAAATATTTAATCAATCTAAAAATAAAATTTCAATCCAGAAAGATCTCAAATGCAAAAATTGTTCCTTCTCTGTCTTGGCTTCTGATGAAATACAACTAGTGTTAACATAATCAGAAACATAAACTGAGTATTCTCGTATTGCCGTAGTCATTCACTACTACTTATACACCATACACGAAGAACCTTGTGAGTTGCAGAACAATTACGGTGTGGCCAAGGAACACTTACAATTAGTTGAGTGGTAGGTAAGCTATTAACTTGAATCAATGGTATTTTTCAAGCTACCAATGTACATTTTTGATTTTGTAACCACCATACAAGCGGAAGAGACTGAAAGCAGAAATACAAGACAGGACCACCGTACTAAGGCTAACAACAAAAGCACTAGCTATCCCTTCTCCCACTTGGTTGCAGAATTTTCCATACATGTTGCATAACTCCATCCATTGCAGTTCTGGCTGGCCCACCTTTGCTAACATACCCGATTGTGCTGCAGTCGCCACTGCTCCCACTGTTATATATGCCATTACCTTCATACATAGAAAGGTTATGTCTTTAGTGTTATGATTACAATGTGTAGTACTTGTATGCATGAATGAATACACAGTATTTCTTTCTGTGAAGGTGTATTGAAGTTGTGGGATAAGACTATATCTACCATGCTCATTTTCTTTTAATTGCTTTGGTCATTACTCATTCCCAAATGCTGTTAAAAGTCCCAACAACCTACCAGCACACACTTAGATACACCCCAAATCATGGAATTAAATGTCTTATGCTGATTGATGCTGAATGCTAACATCAATCAGGCATGCTTCCCTAAAAGGTCCCACTACGGTATCCTAGCTTGACAAGACAAAGTTGCGACCTTTATAATTTGCTGTCTGTATTTGACCCTTAATTTCAAACCATATCCAAACCGTCCCCAGTTGAGATTTTGACACATGTAGATAGGAAAATTCAGAGAAAAACATCTAATGTTATCAAATGTTGCTCCCTAATGTGAACTGTGATTTTTTGCGTAAATAGTGTGATTTTGGTTCACAATTACATTAATTGATCTATTAGGTAGACTAAAAGAAACTAATTGGATGCAAATAATCAGAAATTGTTCATGTGAATTCCTTTGAAACCAGAGCAGCCACCTGAGCTAGACTTTAACTTTGGGTATTAGATATAGAGAAGCTATCAGAATTCCATAAAAAGCAGAAAACTGAAAATGCAATGAGAATCTATTAACATAGTGACGTAAACATCTTGATATTGTAGTTTCGGTCTTTTGGTCACACTGCAAAAGAAACGCAAGTTATGTGAATAAAAATGTACCTGATCACCAGAAAAAATGGCCCAAGCTAGGGGCTTACTTAAGAGTACTCTTCCTCTGACCACACCAATGATACAGCGCAGCCCTTGGAGTAAGGAGTAGCCAGCAGCTAACCCATTTGCAACTACCAGGAACCTGCAAAGTTGACAACAATCTAAATTAGAAGACTACCACCTGCAACGTTTTGACAATCAAAAATAAGGTTTTACATTGCGATCACAACCATAGTTCGTAATAAAAAAAGAAGATTGGGGAGCTAAAGAGCTTACACTAAAGCCTTCATGTCAGTAAATTTGGCTGTCTTCTGAATTGAGAAAAACACTTTGACTTGGGAATCAGTTCCAACGAGAACAGCTGCAAGAACTCCTAAACCTAGGGTCACACACCTAAGCACCAACTCAGTTATCCTGATCCTCCTATCAAACACTTTTGCCGTTGTGTTGTGGTTTACTGGAACAGCCCCAGGAGTAACACCTACACTCAAATGATTACTCATTTTTCCTCCTAAATCAACACTCAGAAACAAGAAACACGGGACAATATATAAGAATTCCTCGAAACAACCTAGAAAGAACTGTGGATGAACACCAACTTTAACCTTCTATTACTTATATAGACAGTTTTTTTTTTTCCTCCTATAAAGTGGTGATGGTGGTGGTGCTTAGCTGCAATGCTGCACAGCGTGCCAAGTGGTCAAAACGTGGGGCAACTAGGACAGAGTAGAGAAAGCGTATATAGGTAGATCAGAAAAGGCACTTCAATCTATACATACATTGGCATTAAATGGTTCTGCTCTGACCTCTGGTTCAGCATTTATGGACTGATAAATTAAAGAAAAAATTGGTTTTGAGCGCTCCTTTATTGTGTCTGGGAAGAAGTAACAGTTTCCCGTCCCTAGAAAGGATCTGATATGACAATATGAGGAGTGCCTAAATCCTGATCAACCAAGGATTGTGTAGTTCAAGTGAAGGAAGATATGGTCCATAGTTTTTACCCTTTTTTTTTTTTTTTTTTTCTGGGGTTTATGGAATGGATGAAGTCAAAACAGAAAAAAGTGACCTTCCCTATATATATCTTGCTTGATAAAGCATAATAACGCATTAGTTTCACTTGTTTGGCCTAGTGTAGAAATTTTGTTGCTGAAAAGTGACTCAAGATAAAAGCTGGTGGAGGAATCATCAAGGGTAATCAAGAGTTTTGATTATTTAGATCTTTTGATAGGTGATATGCAGGTAGGAGTATTTGTGACTATGCTCAGAAAATCTGTATATCATTAGTCTCGTAGATAAAGAATTGATCGTTCACACATGACATGAACGGGTAGCAAACCATGACAAATATAAATATAAATAATGCCATCCCACAACAACTTGGTTCCAGTAACAAATAGGTTTATAGCACTTGTTTAATTTACCCTTAAAAATTGCAAGATTACCTTTACATGCGTAAAGAAAGTTGTCTCAAATTATCGATTCTCAAGTCCTCTATGCTTTGTCCATTTGAAGTAAAATTAAAATAGATTATTTAGGAGCTTTTATCATTGAAAAACTTTTTCTGTTACTTTGCGTATGGTGCACTGCTGTCTGCAGCATTAAATATGTCCATGATCTTAGTTAGCTCTTTTATACTGAGGTTTCAATTTTTGGGTGTTAATTTAATTTAATTTTTTATGTAGAAGTTGTCAAATATTAAAATTGTATTTATATATCTGTTTGAATTAGAATGCATTTTTTTATAGTCATATTGGTAAATTTATTATATTTGTAATAATTATTTTATTATATATATATATATATTAAAAATGTAAATATTTGTATTTTTTTAGAAAATAATTATTGAATGAATTATTTGTATATTAAAATATTTAATTGTGATGAAAAACTAAAATTATAATTTTTCATAATTTTGATTATAATATTATTATATGTTTATATAGTTAAAATAATACAATATAAAAATTATAATCCTTCAAATTGTACTTTCTTTTATTTTTATATCAATTTTAATAATAAAAAACTTGTTGTCAAGCTAATTACTTATTTTTTTATGATTCGTGGGACTAGAGCGGATAAGTCAAATTAAATAAAGTGGTTAAAAATATCAAATTTTCTCATTTTATGAACTCTATCCATAGTAAATATTTTCTCACCTACAATAATAAATTAAGTATCAGGGTAATTAATTATATCTGAATTTACGTAGTTTTTAAAGAATAATTGACTATATTTTTGTTACGGTAAATTTCTACCTAATGCTTTTTTTACACGTGGAACATTAAGAATTAATGAAATGCTTCGGAGAAAAAAAAATGAAAGGAAAAGAAATAAGTGAAAAAGGAATAAAAATAGATATTGTATGATTATAAAGAAATAGTTGAAAAAAAAGGAAATATTTTTAATAAAAAATTAAAAGAATAATACAGTAAAAATATTCATTATTAATAATATTTGTATTCATATATTTTACTATTGTTATTATTTATTAATAGTATTTTTATTATAAATAATAATATTATCTTATTTATTTATTACAGTTACAATAAAAGACTGAAATTCTTTACAAAAGAAAAAGAAAAAAGTTCCCACTATAATATTGCTCTTGCATTTCTGTGTTCTTCCACGTTGTTTTTAGAAGCAATGAACCCTATCTGTTTTTCTATTCAATTCTCTGCTTATCTTGTGCGAAGCCTGTCATCAATTTGAAGGTCTTCTCTTCTTTTATGCATTGATCTTCGCAACCGAACTCAACAGTGCTTCTTATACACTGTTGAAGTCAAATACTCATCTATACACCATTCACAAACGGCTAAGAAAAACCATTTTATCAGTATGTACAGAGGAAAAAGCATAGTACTTGGACGATTAGGCTAAAGCTGATTCATTGGTGAATTTGTCGAGAGGGACAATGTCAATGAAAATTGCAGCATCATTGAAATATGAAGAGTCTCTTTTCTTCTAAACTGGTACGTGTCCCTTGCAATTATTCCACTTTTAATCTTGCTGCAATTATTCTATACTTTCCACGGCCCAATCCCAGGCCCACGGAAACTCCTTATATGGGCTCTGCAAACATGTCCCAAAATTACCCAATAGATAAATTGAAAATTCTAGTTTAACTTTTTTTTTTTTTTTTTTGAAAATTAGTTTTAAAAACTAATTTTGAAAGACAAAGTAAAAAAGTAAAGAGAACAAAAGGAGGTGGGAATAAAATGGGCCACTTGTTTTTGTCCTGAAAACTCGATGGCCCAGTTTCAGGTCCTACCGTCAGATGCAAACAGACTGCATGTCACGGACACTGATATGAATGAATTTGGTGCTTGGCTAAGTTAATTTTCGTTAAAAACAATTAATTTAACTTCAAAATAAATGAACACTCTGTCACTCCAAACTATAAATTATTATAACTTTGATTATCACTTGTCAATAAGTTCAATCAATGCATTTAAAATTTTCAATTTTACGGAAATGAATTAATAATATCAATATATTAAGTAGATAGTGTCGGAGACAGTGATGAATGATTCTACTGTTTTAAACTTCCTACTAATTTCTTTCTTCTAAACATTTGCGTAAAACTTACCATTTCTTTATATTGCATGTTGTTACTTATCATATCCACGTTTTTCCCTCTTAAGCTACGTAATATGAATATCAGTGGTTTATTGATAACAGATTCCTGAAAGGTAGGATTTTCTTATTATATTTGCGCTCAAGAGAAAAGAGTGCTGCTACTAACAAAAGCTTAATTTGTCCAGTTGATAGCACACACAGTGTACTAACCTAAACTTTGAAAAGCCTACCTCAGTCAAGGTTTGTATGCTTTCCAAGAAAGTGGTTCCTCATGTACAACCTACTCTCCATTACGTTTTTGTTAAAGAATATTGTGATGAGATCCTCATGCTTTTTACCCTGCAGGTGCAAACACCCTCAACAGTTCCTCACTGTCTTCTTATATATACACACACGTCCCTACCTTCCTCCATCCCTTTTCCAAGACCCTCTTCTTCTCTTCTCCTCTCTCCCTATGGCCCTACTAAGGTGTTGTTTCTTTATCATTCTTTTCTACTTGGTTTTGCAGAAGCACAACCTTTCACACACCCCTTTAACCACACTGACTTACAAGCCGCAATAGGTGACATGAGAGCAAAATCTTACTACGGATTCGCAATGCTTTTGCAGATGCTCAATGGAACAACATCACAACCAAATAGGGACTTAACTTTCTTGATGCCAGATGATAAAGAACTATCTTCTTCCTCTATTTCTGTTGATGAAGTGGGAGAGTTCTTGCTAAAACATGCCATACCAATGCCTCTATACTTCAATGACTTATCTCATTTCCCAACTGGGATCCTTGTTCCCTCAGGAAATAGCTCCAAAATGATTAGGATTCATAACCGTGGCAAAGGGGATTTCTTCGTTAATAATGCAAAAATTGTTTCAGCCAACGTTTGCTTGAACTCTGTGATCAAATGCCATGGAGTCGATGCAATAATTGACTATGATAATTGAAAATACATTACATAATTAAGGAAGAGGTGTATTAGCATCCTTCAGGTGCAAACAACCTTCAATATCAGAAAGGATTTAATTTGTCCGGATACATGTTCCAAACTCTATCAGACACAAATAAAACCATTACTACGTTTGGAGTTGTTTGTTTTCACTTATTTAGACATTATCTGTATTCAATGTTTTCATTTTTTAATCCCAAAACCTATCATATTGTTTCAATTCTATTGGTATTTTTAAAAATATATACAGGAAAAAGTTGCAAAAATAAGATTATTAACAATATATTTTTTAGAAATCTTGAAAACAAAAACAAATGTAGAGTGTTGTAGTAAATAAAAATAGGAAATAAAGGGAGAAAATATTGCTCAGAGAAAATTGTCCTTTATATTTTCCCTTTTTTATCTAATGCTATATCTTGAAAATTAACGTGGTGAAAGAACATGCAGCACAATTGACATATTTTAAGAGGAGATAAATTCATTCAATCAAATTAGAGAAAATTGTTTCTTCTAAAGATAAATTGGTATTAAGATGAACGTGTGTGCCTCATTTTGGAGCAGTAAAAAGGATCGATGCTTTTTTGCAATAAAAGGCCCAGCATAAAGCCCCACTAGTGTGCATTGAATCGATGCACCTCATCCTATATATATATATATATATATATATATATATATATATATATATATATATAAACATACGATAACTTAAGTAATATTAATGGGTAATATATTACCAAGTGAGGTGCATGGACTTTGTGAGGTTATCTCATATCCAAACATACAGAAAAAAACAATTTGGATTCATTGAACTTTGAAGTCATCTTCATCGTTGTATTTTTTGTAAATCTTCTTGCATGAAAACCGTTTACTTGTTCAGAGGGATTTGTTTCTTCATTTTTTTATTACTTCATTTTATACATTTGTTTAACCGTAGTACTATCTTCTCCTTCCTTCATTGTTTTCTGCGACGCCTCATTACCTATAAAAATTTCTTATACGGGCCATGTCAAAATCGCAGTACGGCGCATTGCCGTTATATTACAAATATTACTTACACAGACCTTAATTGCATGTTCCTTTTTTGAGGAAAAAATGAAGTTGATTACTTAGCAGATTGATGACAAGCTTAAAAGATTGATGCTAACTAAAAAAGACACTATAACTAATTTATAGGCCAGAAGCAGAACCTAAAGGATGAAACATATAAAACCAACCAATTAAGAAAATTAACCAAACAGATTGTTCGTTGATATTCAGTGACTAACCACAATATCCAAAAAGCTCTCATGCATGTTCATGCTATTTCAAGCCTTATCATTGAATCTTATCGCAGTACTAGCTAGCAATCAACACAGGTAGTAATATCAAATAGCTAAGCTGATTAGATGATAATACACTCGTGCCAATTAAGCCACCATAGAGAGGCCATTGTGTCACATCATTAGAAGCAACATCATTAGACAATCACAGGTGAAGAGAAGTGTCAACACCAGAATCTGTGCCAGAGTCACAATCGTAGACGTTCTTCCATGAAACCTGCAGGGACTGTGAGTGCGCATGGTTCATCGAAACCGGGGTCTGAGCACTTCTATAATCCTCTTGCTTGCTCTGAGATGTTGGCCAGAGGGAGAGAGAAACATGGGGTGGTGACCTTGATGGCATGATCGAGTCAGGGTGAGAGAGAATTGAGGAATTGTTGGAATTGTGATAAGTGAGGGTGGTGTTGGAACTGAATTGTTTAGGTTCATTGAGCATCTTCTGGAGCTCCCTCTCCTCCCTCATTTCTTTTACTCTCTGCAATTGTCTAAACCTCTCTTGTAGAAGGGCAATGGAAGAGTGAAAGGAAGTGGGGTCATGGCTTTCCCTACCCATTATGACTAGTGAGTGAGTGAGTGATACGTGGTAGCAGGAAATAGCAATAGTAGAGTGTGATATGTTGTTGTAGGCAGAGGTGTAGGAGGGAATGAGAGAGGTCTAAGGAAGCATGGATTGATGTACGTGTGTTTATATAGGGTGATGGCATGGTTAAGAAATTCTACTAGATAATAAAATAGGTGTGAGTGCTTTTACTTCAAGTCTAACGATAAAATTTTAAATGATGAAAAAAGGGAATGAGAATCGGCAGGTAAGCTGCAAAGTCCAAAAAGAAGATGTTGATTGGGCAATCTAACCGAGTTTTTAGCCTGTGTATGTGGGGGAAGGAGGCACAAGCATATCTTTCCTTTTTTTCGGTACGAAGAGGCAAAAGCATTACTAAAGCAGAAGAGTACAAGGAGAAAAAAACAAGGGAATGTCGGAAGTAGCACATGGAAGGGTGTGTTTGGAGGAATAATAAGTCGAGTGATGCCCTGCCAACATGTCCCAAAAGGCCTCTTCAGCTTTGGGGATGGTGGAGTCTTTTTGGTAGGCTTTGTTTGGATATCACATTATTTAATTTCCCCTTTTCCTTTTAGATTATTTACTTCTTCTTTCTTCCTCTCTAATGCGCTCCTAACTTTTTCCTTTTGTTGGGAGAAGGGGAAGTTGAGGAATTGGGGGCAGTGTAATAGCAAGAAGACAAGGCTTAGAAGGAGGAATAATCTTGGGAGGTCATCATGCTTTGATTGAACAATTATGTATGACAAGGACAAACATACCAACATTCTTCTCTCTCTCTTTATCTCTATGCAACTTGTTTGTCCCCATGTGTTTGGATGTGAATGGCATGCAGAAATGAAAGCTGCAGATGCCACCATTGCTTCGATTGGATGCTTCTTTTATGCGGCAGAAGCGCCCCCCTCCTCTCCTCTTCTCTCCTCTCCTCTATTATTTTCTTGCATCTTTGGACTTCTAAACCATAATAGAGTGACTCACTGATTCTGATTAATTAAACCAGACTCATGCATGGACAAGGTGTGCATTATAAATCCTATTATATTCATTCTCATTGGCCACTTACTTAAATATAATTAGCACATGTTGGTGGATGGATGTGAACAATCTAGGCCAAATTAGCAACATACAAGCATAAGAAGTTGGTGATGCAAAACAGGTTAAGGGACTACACTTCACAGATCCAACTATCTGATACAGTGCCTCTGAGTACTGCCGAGTAGTTACTGCTATAACTTGTGCCTCACTGTCCAATAAAGAAAAAGGACGTACCATACCAGCCAGCCAGCCAGCCTCAGCCTCAGCCTCAGCCTCATCACCAAAAGAAAAAAAGAGGTTAGGTGACTTCAAACAAAATAGAAAAGTAATATCTCAAATCAACACAATGCTTAATGGCCACATTTGACCCCATTGTTGGGGATGCCTACAATATGGTGGGATACTCCATTAAGGTCCCTCCTCGTTACACATCACTCATTTCTCAACTTCCTCTAATCCTAACCACACTGCTCCTTCTCAAACCTCAGATCTAAAACTACCGTCAAATCAGGTTTAAGAAACAGTCAATTTTGCCTTTGAATTTGCTGGTTTTTAACAGTTACTTAATTCGGAAAAGAAAGGAAACAATTGTACTAATACAAACATTCAGCTATACATAACTGGAATATCAATGGCACAGTTTGATTGAATCTTACACTTTCCATTTTAAGTTCTCTGTTTGTACTCGAGGGCTTTTCATCTCATTTTTCTTCAGTATATTTATCACTTTAAAATATCAATAAAGTATTCTTCCTTAAAGAATCTCTTATTAGTTTATTGGTATTCCACTTAAATACTCAACTAACTCACAACTCCTTCAACTCTTTCAATAAGGACCTTTCAGACTGGAAAAAAAAAATTATTATCAGTAACATGTATTCATCGCTGAAAATAATAGTTATCCTTAACTTGATTGATGCATTATATATTTTATTATTTCCTTGAGTGTGACCAAATGTCCAAGCATTAGTGATTCAGAGGTTAAGAAGGGGAAACGGGGGAAAGAAGATATTTAAGCCAAACGGATAAGTGTTGACTGTTTAAACCAAATGGATAAATATTGATTACAATAATTAAGAAAACTAACAAGGTTTTCCAGTATATTTAATTAAAATAAAATTATTAATTCTATTTTATATAGAAATTCGTAAGATAAATGCGGCATGAAGAGAAAGGTGAGAGATTAAGTGAGGAAAAAAGTATAACATCTCGTATGTGCAGTATAAAAATATTAGTAATAAATAATGTCTAATGAATGAGATAATAATTAAAAATAAAAGTAAACATAATTATAATTTTGTAAACCGGTTGCTAATTAATCATTATTTTTCATGATAATAATGAAACTGGTACATATAATGAAAGAGTAAGTGATATTAACCATAATTGATAAATTTTAATATGAATTTAAAATTATTTGTTATAACATTAACAAATGTATGATGGATTGCATTAACATATTTTAATGAGATAACGTTGTTAGAGTTGAAGTTAATGAACCATAAATAATTAAAAAAAAGAAAAAGAAATAGATGAGGTGAAGGGGAATGTTTTGGTTGTTCTTTGTTTTTCTCTTTTGAAAAAGGAAATCTGCTAAGCGGCATGGTTACATAGCTTTCACTTTCAGGCTCTCTCACTCACTTTTCCCGTCCTTTTCAGTTTCTCTCTTTCTAATCAATAACACTATATTTATACTCACTTCACCTCACCATTAACCGTGAGTCATTCTTTCACCAGAAGAAGGTAGTGCCATGGAGAAATGTTCCAGTGTTATTATTATGAGCCTATAATATAATACATGATGGTGCTGCTGCTGCTTTTGGTTAGTGGTGGTGACATTTGTTGAGTAATTGGGGTGTTTTTGCCATTGCACCATAAGTTCCTACCAGGTGTCCGATACAGAAACATGAGTTGTGTTGTGTTTGTGAGTGCATGACTGAACTGTCGTGTGGTCCTTCCTCTCAAATTTCTTCAAATCCTTCTCATGCCTCAGCTCTAAGAATCTGGGCCAAAACCCACGTTCCTCATTGCCAGTTAACGTGGTTACTGACTCAATTTGCAATCATTTCTCTTCTGTCCCGTAGCAAACACCCTTCTTTTCCTCAACTTTTGCTCCGCTGCCAACTTCAAAACTTATCCAAATAACATAGAATCTCAAACACATGACTTATGTTTCTTAGGTTCATCAAAATCTTGTATGGCTAAACCCTTCTGAAGATGATTATTTTTTTATATAAGGAATTCTAGCATTTTGAGGCATTCCAGAAAGGTAAGAGTCTCTTATTACCTAGTTTTACAAAAGACTAACATTTAGTTTGGTTTCATTGCTTATCAGTAGCCTCTCCAAAATCCTCGATTTGCAAGATCCATCTACGAATCATCTTTACCCAAACTCAAACACAGATATCTAACATGTCAATTTTGGCATGTCTAAAATTTCATCTACTTTTAACCAATTTTCAGGCTTTAGAAAAATCGCATGGTACTAGAGTGATCTTATGTTACGAGACACGGCAACATGAGGTAGTTGCATATCATAACAGTCTCTACACAACTTTAGATTTCTGTCTCTGTTCCTCGATAAATCAGGTCTTTATCTTCTCGGGTTTCTCTTCAACACTTCCCAACTTCCAGTGTTATTTTAGTGGCAGCTTGCACACACAACTAGACAACTACTGTAGACAAAAATAAAATAAAATAAATCGAATGCATCGTGCAAATTAAAATATCTACGTTAACTTTTAAATACTTTTTTATTTAGTTTCTTTAGAAGTACCTGTAACACTATTAAGATTTTTTTAAAACTAAGAATAAAATACTCACATCGTTTAAAAGATGACCGAAACTATAAATTAATACAAACTGAACCTTAAATTTTCCAATTTAACACACTTCGAATATCATAGGAAACCGTGACTCTGGTGGTTCTTTTATCAAATTGGATTGTCTCCTGCTAAGAATAATAATTTAGAAGCACACAGAGAATGAAAATGCAGAGAGAAAGAAATAGAGAGCCCAGATCCATCTTTTAGGTTATCAAGTAGAAGTAACCGGGCGAATGACACTTGAATAAACTATCAATTTTATCACTAATGTTATTGTCTCTTCAAGATTAACCTTGAAGCAATGAAGTTATGTAAGTAATTTTTCAATATTTATTAATTTAATTCCTAAGTTAATATTATTACATTTAATAAAGTCGAATAAATTGGGGTATCTTTTGTTTAGAACTTAAAGAATTAATCTTTTAAAATATTGTGATTCGGATTGATATCTTTCAACATTTTTTCATAAGTAGGGATTTTCGATCGAATATTTACTAAGAAACAATGTTATCTCCCAATTATAACGCATGCTAAAAGGTAATAGCATTCATCTCAACAAGGTAGCTTACACTACTACCAAATCAGATATATATATATATATATATATATATATATATATATATATATATATATATATATATATATATATATATATATATATATATATATATATATATATATATATATTTTTTTTTTTTTTTCACCGTAACATTTATAATTCATGATATTTGTTAACAACAATTTTTTTTAAGAGAACACTACCGTTATGCTTATTTCCAATGATACCCTATTTAAGCCAATGAAAAAAAAAAAAAGTGGATTTTGTATTTCTTTTCATGAGAGTAGATTTTAGAACACGGAATTGAAGGCGAGAGTAAATAAAAAGGTCGTCACTGAGATGAGGAAATGAGACGAGAAAGACAATTCAGCTCTTGTATATTTAGATAAGGACCTCTATTTTTTAAATAATTTTTCATTGTTTCGTTTGGATGTTCATTATGCAGGGCAGAGATGCAACATGTAAGTAGAGATTCAAGTTTTGAATACCCATTAAAAATATGGAAATAGAGTGGTTAGGTGTTGTATTTATGTTGTGAGAGTAATGCTTTCTCTTACTCGTTTGAAGGAAAGTGAAGTGATGATTCATTCGTGTGAAGTTGGGTGAGTGTTGGGGTGATTGGTTCATATGTGCCTAATGTAATATGAATATGCCAAAAAATTAATAAGTTAGAATAGAAATTTAAAGACTTGGATCAATCTTCTGAATGAAAGTAATCAATATTTTTCCTCCTTTGATATGAATATAGTACATCATATACAACACTATTTAATTATCTTAATTTTATTTGATTGCATATTTTTAAAGTAAACGTCGAGCTATATACAGATACTCATCACAAATAATTCATTATTAATTTATCGATTGATGATAATAATAATAATAATAATAATAATATTTATTACAATAAATAAAAATAATAATAATTATTATATTATTAATACTAATATTAATAACTATTTTAATAATAAAAATAATAATAATTATAACTATAATAATAATAATATCAGTAATTAAATTACAAATAATTCAAATAATTATAATATTTTAAATTATAATAATAATAATAATAATTTTTACAAAAATAATTTTGTCCAGATTTTTTTCTATCACAATATTTTGTTTATATTATCGGAGTTAATAATAAAAGTTGTTTAAAAATAAGAATAAATATTTTATTAAGAATATTACATAAAAGTTTATTTTAAATTAAAAAAATTATTTAAAATTACAAAACAATTCTTTTACAAATTTATAATAAAATATTTACTTCTAAACAACTTAATCTAACAACTCTTTTACGTACGTTCTTATTTTAATCAAATCAATCACAAATTTCTCTTTGTTTTTTTACACTTTTTATTAGATTTTTTCTTAATACAAACCATTTCACTTTATTTTTATTTTTTTACTCACCCAAATCCATTTATAATCTAAACAAACTATACATTTCGTTTCTTTCTCTAATTATATTTTCTCATTCACAAAATTCGAATTCAAAATCAAAACTACTCAAACTAAATATATATTGACAAACCAAGTGTACATTGTAATTTTTGTTGTTTAGTATCCTCAGCTCACACAAGAAAGATTAATTTCATCTACAGTGTCACTGACCCAAACACATATTAATATAATATAATTTTACAAAAGATTATTATTTATGAGAAAATTAATAAAACTTATCATTGTTTAATAAATTATAATTTTTTTATTATAATATTTATATAGATATTTATTGTGATAAATCAAACTAAGGTTTTTAAAATGATTAAGATTTAAAGATTTAATTGAGTTTAATTATATTTAATAAAATAATATTTTTATAATTAATAAATATATGATAAATTTATTAAAAATAATGTTTTTTATAAAAAATTAATAACAAAAATTACTACTGATTATTATAAATTATAATTAAAATTATGAATATAAAATATATTAATAAGTCAAAAATGAATAATTATTAAAATAAAATAAAAATAAAATAAATTTATTATTATTTAAAATTAATATAAAATAAAAAATTAAAATATATCATAAATTTTATAAAAAAATATATGGTTTTTTAATTCCATACTCAATTCGACACCCATAGGTCCTATCTAGTTTTGAAAGGTGTCACACTAACACATTAACAATTCGTGTTGTTTGCAATAAAAGTTAACTGAATATTACAATGTAAGTTTGAATTTTAACTATAAGTTTTTATACATTTTTATAGTATAAACACGCAGCATGACCCGAACACCAAAAAGATGTAATAAAAATAAGCTGGGTATTGTGGTTATGGTATTGAATTACGCAGCCACGTTTCACGTTTTTCATGTAACTCGTATTCATATATACAGAAAATGTTATCTTTAATCAATTTCCAATTTACTCTTTCAAATGAGTTTTTCAAAAAAAATTATATTAACTATTTTAGAGTATTTTTGAAAAAAAATTCAGAAAGATTAATACAAAATATTTTCAGGAAGTTCATTTAAAAAAAAATTCTGAAAAAGAAATTTTAGAACCTAAAAGGCTAAAATCATATGTATGAAAAATATTTTTTGAATTTAGTTATTCAGAAATTTTTATATTAATTTTTAAAAATAATAAAATATATTCTAGATTTCATAATATATAACTTAAAAAAATAATATATTTATAGATTCATTTATCCAAAAAAATTCTGAATTTTTTATTTCAGAATACTCTAAAATTACCCTTTCCATAAAATTAATAAGGTGTTCTTATATTTTTTTAAAAATTTGGGTAGAAAAAAATAAAGTATGAGTTGCGGGACAAATGTGTCCTGGTCAACAGTTATGAAGCCCAAGGTGAAGAGAGAAATAAATTCGAAAAATGGGCCGCTCTGTGAAAACTTAAAAATAAGGCCCAATGGATCGTATAGATGATCTAAGAAACAGAAACGCATAGAGCGTGCGGGGTGTTGTGTTGGTGTTGAGGTTGCAGTGTCTCGTGTGATTTGTTGAAGCAGCTTTGGAGAGAGAGAGAGAGAGTCGAAAGAAGAAAGATGAACACAGACATCACTGCATCGACGAAACCAGAGTACCCTGTCGTTGATCGCAACCCTCCCTTCACCAAAGTTGTCGGCAACTTCAACACTCTCGATTATCTCCGATTCGTCACCATCACCGGCGTTTCCGTCACTGTCGGCTACCTCTCCGGTCAGTTGCCTCACCTATTTTCTTTTTCACGTATCTGTGTCTTATCGAATTAGGAAATTGAAATTTGGAAATGGATTTTGTTTATTAGGGATTAAGCCAGGAATTAGGGGTCCTTCGATGGTGACAGGGGGTCTCATTGGAGTGATGGGTGGTTTCATGTATGCTTACCAGAACTCTGCTGGGAGACTCATGGGTTTCTTCCCCAATGACGATGAGGTAGCTCGGCACCACAAAAAGTAATCTTTTTTCCTTTCTCATTACAAAAAAGGAAAAAATAAACTCTTTTGTAGTTGTTTTTTAACTTTAATAATCAAATTTCGCCTCTGCTATTTTTTAAGCTTTTTATTTGTAACGAATTTATTTCATTCTCCTTATGAAGGGGTGATTAAACCTTGCTAGTTTTGGATTCTATAATTTCGCTCAAGGCAAGCAATGGCAATGTAATGTTATTTTTGAGAAACTGTGGTATACAAGTTTGTGGATTTGGTAGGGGGGTTTGTGGATTTTGGTGTTTTGTTTGACAAGGTGCATTTTCCTGGTTGATAGTGTTACTTGAATTTTTCAGTCTATTTGAATGCAAATGTCTTGAATTCTATGTTGTGTGCCTGTTACCAGCAATGGAATAAGTGTTTGATTAGAATGCACTAGAAGTGTAAAAAATAATGATAGATGTCATCAAGGTAGACCTGTTAACTTTTGTATTTAAAAGTCATAATTAGGATGATTTCTAATTGACTATCAATGTGAATTTTTTTTTAAACTGTCTGTCAAAGTTAAACACATGGATAAATTCCGTGCTTGATCCTACTCTGACTTTTTTAAATGTAGGTTTCCAAGCCTCAAAATCATGTTTGATGACTGAAATGCAATTTTACTGATAATTGTGTTTTTTGTATTGCTTCTAAAAGAACATAAGACTGGAAGTGAAAATAAATGTAGTTTTTGCACTGAGTTTAAAATTCATATTAAGTTTTAGGCTTGTTTGCATTTTTATCCATGTATCATGATACGGGTGGTTTTGGTCCTTCCAGTTTAAATTGCTTAAACCAACTATCCATACTTTTCAAATTAATGAAATTCAGTTCACTGAATTCATGCTTCATCCAATTACTGATATGTTTAGCTAATGTGGATATATTTTATGCTAAGGCAACGGACTTAAATGACATGGCATTCTACAAAAGTGGATTGTCTTATCAATCAAGAATGTTGTTAGTTGTTACGCCACAAAAGCGTTGTTCACAACAGCTAACCATGTCTATAATTAGACAAAATCTTAACTGTTAGACTGAACTTATTCTTTAATAGACCACCATGTCATTAGTTGTTATTGCATCATCATCAGTTGTCATATGGACAAAACATTAACAATTTGATCATTTCATTGATTTAAAAAGTATGCAGACCTTATTTAAGAAATTGAAACTTTAAGAACCAAAATCACTCATTTGTCAAACTGTGTGACCAAAAATAGGCCCAAGTTTTAATCACTTAATTTCAATGTTTTCAAATGTAAATCACTTAATTTCGAAGTTATTTTTAATCAAATTCATGATCATCCTAAATCAAGTTTGTAAATATTCACACAATTACAGATATATCTATCAGAAGTCATGAATGTGTCACCACAGTGAACATGAAATTTAACAATGCCTTTGTTCTCTATAACCATGAAATGACTTATTTCTTTATTTGTTCTATTTAAGAGTATACTGTTTACATATCATAAGTTCCTTTTTATAGAAGGGAAGACTATTCTGTGTTGATGATGATTATTAACAGATAAAAGAGTGTTCTACAGTGTCTATTGTGCAATTTGCAGTCTGTTTCTCCTTTCACACAATTCTATGTTGTGGTCTGTATCATTGATAAATATAAAAAATAAGTGCTTTCTAAGGATTTGTTTTCAAAAGTTAATGAACTTTTGTCTTAAAAGCATTTTGTCTCTTATGGTGTTGTAATAGCAATATGAAATGGAACACTGTTAACTATCATCCATAGATGTATTAATAATTTAATAATTAAATTAAGCGATTTAACTGCTTGGAGAATAGCATGGGAAAGCATATACTTGTCAGAGTGGCTCATTGACGAATCTATGTTAGAGGAATGGAGGCAATTGCCCCCACTAGGTTTTACTTAGAAGGTGTGTAATATTTCTTTTTTTTGTTCTTCCTAAAATAGTTAGATAGTGTCTCCATAATGACCGCAATATTTTGTTTATTGATTGTTTTTAAAAACGGTAAAAATTAAGCAGCTATCATATATCCAATTATAAATTTAGTTCTGAAATTAATTTTGATATTCACTATGAAAAATATACACAATATTTTTAAAGAATTAAAATGTGTAAAGGGCTATACTAATTTATTCAAACTTCAATATTTTAGATTTTTTGGTCATGAAATTATATATATTTTTTGTGATAGTTTATAATATTTTATTTGTGTAAGTATTTCAAACTATTTTCTTGTCCCTAACTAAAGATATTTTGTAGGTCTGCCTCTTGCTCATTATGGAAAGAAATAAATCTAAATTATTGAATGTTTGCGTGTCCTTGTTGTAATTATGTAATAATATAAAATTATGACATCTTGTGTCATACTAGTCAATGTCATTCTTTTATCTGTTTTACTGATCCAGAGATAATCCATTTCTTTGTTTTTGTCTCTACTCAATAGTTAGCCATATTAGCTCACCTAAATTGAGCTGTTGTACTTGAGAATATCCACAGTGGAGTTTGAAGCTGTGTGAATTCTGGAATACTCAACTTGAATGTAGTGCTTCGCCATAAGAATGTGTCATAATCGGAAAGACTTGGTTGATGGTTTTTGTGTGGTTACATGACAAGGACTTGACTATTATGGGGTGATTAAGTTTCATATTCAATAGTATGAGATGTTCTATAGAGTATTTAAATGTTTGATTCTCCTCTGTTAAGAGACAGATTTTAAGGGTGAGTTCTTGAGGTATTTGGATGCTTATTATAAACACCTAAAACAAATCCGATTTGGAGGTTGCTGAAATATTTTTGCACTTGAGACTTTGGGCTAATTCAACCCTGGCCTTCTTTACACTTCAAAAGTCGTAGCATCATTTTGGGTTTTATGTCTTTCCCTTCGGATGGAAATCTTTCTAGAATGCTAGTTGACAATTGGAGCAAACATTTGGCGTTTTCTTCGACGTTGCCACTGAACTATTACGATAGAAATGCAGGAGGTAAGTCTGAAGCATAAAAATTGTTCTTGTTGATTTAAGGGCTTTTACATTTTTTGCTGAGCAAGCCATCACACATTTTTCGCCATATGGATGATCTTCAAAGCAACTTCGTCCGACCAATTACTAAAACAGCATCTGTTTCATTTGCCTAGAAAAGTGAATATTCCAGAAACGTTTTATCTCAGGTATACCTTACCAAGGGTTGAATGCTAAGACCACCATTACCATAAATTTCATTTGTTACATGACCTTATTCTAAGTATACCATGCTGGATTATTCTCCATCATCTACCCTCCCTGCTCTCTCTCACTGTTTTCGAAAAAGAATCCACTTACTCTGCTTTTCATGTTTCTATTATATTCCATGCATAATCCATCTACCCGTTAATCTTTTTATTATGTGAAGTAAAACAACATTTTGGAACGGCACTTAACTTTGTCACCATGCTTTGCCAACAGTTATAGGATTACAAGATAAAGGCTCACTTTTAACAATTGAACGGCGTCGGTAGAATTGGCCCGTCCTAGGAGGGAAAAGGTGCACTTTCATAATCGTGGATGAATTCTCTTTATTAATAGCTGATGTGAACGCTTAATTTGCTCTGGGTGACAAAGCAAAACATAAAAATTGAATATGGTTTCAATTGGTAAGGTGGATTAACCATCGTAGTGAGTACAAGTTCACTGGCTTCCCTTAGCATTTGAAAAAAATAAAATAAAATAGAGGAATAAAATCCATCTTATTATTATCAAGAGAAAGTTTGTAATCATAGCTTCATTGCAATGTGAATCTATTTCTAAACGACAAATCTATGTAAGAATGAACATCTAATTTAATCGACGACCGAATTACTGAAAGGAAGTCTTTCTAATATTTTTCTTGATTAAATAAATATTGATAGAGAAAGCATTTTGTGAATAGTTTATTATTTGAAAAGATAATTCTAGGAAAATCCTTTTAAGATAACTAAGCTGATGAAAGTGTCACATTCACTTTATTATCTATTCCCTTTCTTTCTTTCTTTTTTCTATGTGGAACCCTGTGGTGTGTGTGTGAATGTCAAAAGTGAGAACTAAAACTAAGTGTTGGTGACATCAGTTGTTGAGTTGGTATTAGAAAGCAGTTCACACTTGATTTGCTCGACCGTGAAAGACGAGTAAGTTTTTTTTTTTTCTAAAATGGAAAAAGTATAACAGTGGTTTACAATTAATTTGATATCTTGATTATTTATTTTCATAAACATTACATTATTTTAATTTAAAATTAAAAAAAAATCCACTACATTGTTTTTCTTTCAAAATATTACTGGCAAACATACCGAGTGATATTTTAAGCGTAAAAGAAGGGTGTAATTTGAGGATTGATCGGACAAAATTAAAAGCAGATGATTCCTTCATAGCCGAATCCCCTGACGACATGTATATATAGTTATAAAGAAATTGAACAACTTTTTAGTTATTCATTATTTTATGTCAACTTATAACAACTTTTTTTTTCCGTAAATTGTACTAATTAATAGATAAATTTGAACTCTTTAAAAATATCACTCTACTTTAATGCTTAGTCTAATTTGGATTGTATAACTCATACTACATCAAATTTCTAGTTTTGATTTTACTTTTTATTTTGTCAATGTGATAATTTATTTTTTTATGTAACTTTCTATATGTTTATAATTTATTCAGATAAGTATTGATTATAGTTAAAACTAATCTTCAGAAAAACATTCACATTTACCTTTTATTTTAAGAATAAATTGATAATCAAATTTGATATACAACTTCTAATATAACATGATAGCTATTTAATATTGTCTTGTCCTTAAAACAAAAAAATCTTTTCTCAATATAAATAAGCTATAATATATATTTATCTGCAATTACATTAACTAATATTTTAGCACAATTTCAAACATATTTAATCATGTTTGGGGTTTGTTTGATTTATGATCCTCACAACTTTTAATACAGTGAAAATAGATTAATATGTGTCTAGATGGATTGACTCAACAAACTGAATG